TTGTATATCTTCCTAAACTTTATAAAGCAAGACCTAGAGAAATTTCCATATGAATTTAAACAGTTTTAAGCAGAGGAAACAGTTTAAACAGAAAATTTAAATTAAACATAATGACTTGCCTTTATTATGCAAAAAGGAAAACCTTTAAAACTCAATTCATTTTTTGCTGCTGACTCTTCATGATTTCTTTATTGCTTGGATATGATAGAGCAGCTGGGTCTTCTATGTTTTCATACATTTAAGAACCTAACATTTATTTCCATATAAAATCACTTAATAGAAAAGCATTTGGTCATCTTGAAAAAAAATAAATAACTAAGTCTAGGACTTGATTTTTTTGAGTTTCCTTTTAGTCAACAAGAGAGCTAGGATTCTGCTTCAAGCACTCAGGTTGTATCTGACCCTCATTGGAGCAGGAGTTCAGAAATAACCAGTGTATTGAAAAAGAGGCAGCATAATCAAATATTTGAGATCTGATCAATTCCTTTCTCAACAGATGGCAGCATTCAAGATCATATGGCTTGGATTTACAGCTATCCAACACCCATGCACATCCATACACACACACTGCATGGAACCGTATTTCAGTAATAACAGCATTGTTTCGAGACTCCTCATCTCAGCCTGCTTTCTCTTGTGCTCCCACCCAGACGTGAGTAAGGAAACTTTGACCGTGTTAGTCTAGAAAGAATCACAGAGGCAAGAAGCAAGAGCCGGTGGCAGGATCCATTTCCCTCACATTCTGCAATGTTTGCATCAACACAGCTTTTTTAGTCCCACATATTTTAGGGAAAGCCTCTTAAAAACAGCCCCAAAGTTTTTTATCTTGTTATATTTATGTGAAGACCCCTTCTCCATTTAGTTTTCAGGAAAGTATTTATCCTTAGCCCTACAGATTTGGTAGACAGCAGCAACTCTCCTATAGTTTAATCTCAAGGATGCTGTGTAATCCAGTGCCTCTCAGATTAATCTAGCTATTGCTACACTTCAGGAGACTGACCTACAAACTACTTACAGATTGCCTACCGCTGCAGAACACAAGCTGAAGTTTTTAATTTGGTGTCAGACAAGCTGAGAATATGAAGGTTTTAGTCTCCTCCAGTTCACACTGATCAGTGTTTCTTCAGTAGCTGCAGTTGTGTGGATCCTTAGCATACATGTGTGGCCACAGCAAAGTTTAGCACTGTTTTATGTGTCTGCAAGATGTTGTTAATTCATTTCCTTCCTCCATGACTCAAAAATCTTTTCAAAGTGACCCCATGAGGAGAATGACAGGGTTAAAGCTGTGAAGTAGGCAGGACACCATTCATGAGCAGCTCCTACACCAGCATGGAAACTTGAACCCAAGCTTCACCTTCCCTAAAAGAGAGCCCAATCAGTAGGCTGAAATGGGGAGCATGTAACTTCACACTTCTTCTCAACCCCCTGTCCTTAGCTTTATATACTGACCACTCTACTCTTCCTGCTTTCTCCTCTGCTCCACCAGGCTTTGTGGACCCTTGGTTCCCCCTTCAGTGCACAGGGGATGTCAGTACCTCGTGGTGGATTCCCCTCAGTGGCAAGGCATTTAAGAGGCAGGGCCTCAAATATTCAGCCAGTCAAGCCCCTAGCTATTTATTGACCCAGTGTCTTCATACAGCCTTGTACCAAACAACACCATGATCAGTTGCTCATATGCTGCCCTGTGAGTCAGCAAAACCATCCCAAACATCCTATCCACCCATCTTCCCTAACTGGGCTGATCAAAATCAGATAACATTTGTTAGAAGAGTAGCATTGTGGGTCTGAACTCCAACTTCACACCTGAATCACCTCAAATTTGTTTGCAGCCTAAATATTTGCTCAAAATTGTCTTTCTGCATTCAGATTTAGAAGAAAAGGAAGGAGATGAAACTGACTCAGAGATTAAACCAATCCATTACTTCCCCCGGGTTTCTACAGCTGCTTCCACCTGCACCTCAGAGAAGAGCTGGCAAAGTATAACAACTGACCTCTGTTCACTGAATTTAAAGGCCAAGGGCTGGTTACTGAAAACTACACCAACCTGTTTCCAGCCCAAAACTCCATTCCCAGAAGACTTGGATATTTAAAATGAAACCTGCTGGCTGACATGATCTTCCTGCTTGTTAGGATTATTAGTTTAAGTGCTGTGTTGAGCCAGCTATGCTAATTCAAAGGAAATTGATCTTTGCTAGCCACATGGTCGCCATAACCACTATGGCTAGCAGACTTTTTTCCCAGCTGTCTTCTGATGCAGAAGTGTAAGTCACATTAATTCATTAAGCACGAGCACAATTTTAAGTACACCACAAATCACAGAATCACAGAATCCTAAGGGTTGGAAGGGACCTCAAAAGATCATCTAGTCCAACCCTCCTGCAAGAGCAGGGTAACCTAGAGTACATCACACAGGAATGTGTCCAGGCAGGCCTTGAATATCTCCAACGTAGGAGACTCCACAACCCCCCTGGGCAACCTGTTCCAGTGATCTGTCACTCACACAGTAAAGAAATTTTTCCTGGTGTTCACATGGAACCTCCTATGCTCCAGTTTACACCCATTGCCCCTTGTCCTACCACTGGACATCACTGAAAAAAACCTAGCTCCATCATCCTGACACTCACCCTTCACATATTTGTAAACACTGATGAGGTCACCCCTCAGTCTCCTCTTCTCCAAGCTAAAGAGACCCAGCTCCCTCAGCCTCTCCTCATAAGGGAGACGTTCCACTCCCTTAATCATCTTTGTGGCTCTGCGCTGGGCTCTTTCAAGCAATTCCCTGTCCTTCTTGAACTGTGGGGCCCAGAACTGGACACAATATTCCAGATGCGGCCTCACCAAGGCAGAGTAGAGGGGGAGGAGAACCTCTCTTGACCTACTACCCACACCCTTTCTAATGCACCCTAGGATGCCATTGGCCTTCTTGGCCACAAGGGCACATTGCTGGCTCATGGTCACCTCCTATCCACCAGGACCCCCAGGTCCCTTTCCCCTTCACTACTGTCCAGCAGGTCAGCCCCCAACCTGTACTGGTACATGGGGTTGTTCTTCCCCAGATGCAAGACTCTACACTTGCCCTTGTTGAAATTCATCAAGTTCCTCCCCGCCCAACTCTCCAGCCTGTCCAGGTCTCGCTGAATGGCAACACAGCCCTCTGGTGTCTCATCTGTGCTCTAGGGCATCTTCTGTGGGTCACAAACCACAGTGTTAAGCAACCTATGCATACTTGTTTTTTGGACTGCTTTCATTTTCATTAGTCTGTGCCAGAAGGATGCACATGGTCCTGCTGAACGCGATTTGTTTTAACTTAAGTGAGCAACTATGTGGGTATGCTCTGACCTTCTGTCACAGTTTTCAATGACAAAAAGCCTTCTACCAGCTGGAAGATGAAAGAAAGGGACTACATTCTGGAGGAAGATGGCTCACGAGTTTATTCTCTGGTAATCCAAACCTGCCTGCCTTTCATTGATGGGTCTTGTTCAAGCAAGAAAAGTCTCTTCTTTCCAGACCTGGCTGAAGCAAGGTAGTAGCCATTATATTTTAGACAGTCTACTCATAGGAGACTAGAATCACACATCTAACATTCTTCTTCACTTTCTCTAGAGACGTGAGCTTGCAGCTCAATTAAGGAGACTAACCTGTATGGCCTATCTCCCTGAAAAGAGAGATGAGGACAGCCGATCCTCTTCCATCTCTGATAGTGGCTGAAGCCAGCCAACCAAGAGCTCCTCTTCCTTAAGTAAGAAAACGTACTTATAATCAATCATTGAGATTGTGGATATTAGCTGGATTAAATTGTTTAGTGGGGTAGGACAGAAGGTGCTCTTGAAACAGGGAATCCCTACTCCATAGCATTTAATACATTAACCTCCTTTTGGGTACTGTATCGGGAGGCTTGGTACAAATATTTCCTTTCCCTGGTACCACTTGCAAGTCTGCTCAATTCTTCCTTTGATGGCTCAAGTGATTAGATGTTAACAAGAGGAATTTAGGCACTTAACATTAGGGAGTTTTAGCACCAAGCTCACACCCATCTCCCTATTCAGCTAAGGGATTTTTCTCATTCCTCACAAATGTTAACAGCAGGTACTTAAAGCAATTAGACATTATCACCTCTCTGGTCTTTATTACTTCCTACCTTGTATCAGCTATTTTGTAAGCAGTAAAAGAGCTGAATTGACAGGATGGTGCAGGCTATTCTGCTTCCTTTCCTTATTCTGTATGAAAACACTGGGTCATGGAGGCACATAGACAGGCTGTGAGCTGCAGTGCTTTAGACCATTATTGCCAATTGCCATGGTGTTTTACAAGGGGAAAAACCACAGGTAGTAAAAGAACAGACATACAGAGATCATAGAGAAGGTAATGTGGAGAATATTGGTAGACCATAGGGACATAAAGGCTAGAAGGATTTCACAAGTCCAGCAGAACAGCTTGCAGCTGTGCCTATACTGTGAATTAGCTGCCACACAGACCTGCAAGTTGCACAGGCAGCCAAGGGACACAGGTATGATGTATTGCTCCTGTGAAAATAAAGCCCCAATGTCTTTTGAGCAGCTCTTGCTCGCCTAGGAATAACTTGTCAACTTTTCATCTAGGGATTGCAATAAACTCCTGTGTGCTCTACGCTTGGTGCTCAAAAAGAGGCTTTCCCGTATTTGCCCAGCAGGTAAAAGCTTGCTCTTTTAATTCTCTATCTACCTTAACTCTTCACTAACCCCTAGTTTTAGTACAGGACCTCAAAGAATGATATATTTTCTCCCTGTTCCCTTGAACCCCCAGTATTTCTAAGCCTTACTTTGTCATTCCCAAGAGGGAAGGGACAAGAGCTTTGAGCTCTTAAATCCTGCTGTCGGTTCTTGCCTGAAAGAGGTAGGGAAACAGATGGAAAGCTGAAGAAAGGAGCCTGTCCCTTGTCAGCATTCACCTGTAATGGATGCAAAATGTGGGGTTAAATACCAGAAGCAGACCCAGGACACAGAAATGAATTGGGTACTTACACGGTTTCATCATTCTTGAACTCCAGCTCCCCATAGGTGTCTTCAAAGTCTTCTCCACCTCCTTTTGCTGTCCCTTCTACTGTTCTAAATGGCACTATAACTGTACCCCGAGCACCTGATGTCCTTAGGACTTTGACTTCCATCACACCAATGCTCTCACTGACGTGTATAACATCACACTCAAATGTGAAGATGCCAGCATGGTCATCATCCAGTATAGTCACTGTGGCCACACAAGGAGAAGCCAATATGGCCTTTGGGTATGGGGAGTTACTGAGCTCTGGCGGTTCCTCAGTCTCCACCACACGGAGGTTACTGAGCCGCACAAAGAAATGCTCATCTTCCTCAAAGATGTCATCATCAATAATTCCCACTGAGAACTCCTTCTGGGTCTCTCCTGATTTCAAGACAACAGTCCCCTCTGTGAACTCATAGTCAGCACCAGCATTGGCAGAGCCATCCTCTGTTTTATAGTCCACATAGATGGTCTTGGACATGTCCCCTCCTTTCCGCACCACTGTCAGGAGAACAGCACCACAGTTCTCAAGACACTGGTAGGAGCATGGGTCAAAATAAATTTTGGAGATGAATTCCTCAGGTTCATCTGGCTGCACCTCATGCAAGCTGGTGCTCTTCTTGGCTTGCTCAGCTGCGTGCTTCTTCAGAATATTGCCAGCTCCTGTCATCATTCTGGTAGCTTGAATGCGATAAAAGGCTCTGCTCTTTTGCTGATGAGACAAGGCATAGTAGTTAGCCATCTCTACCAGCTGGTCCAAGTCCTTTTCTGGGTGCTTTTGCTTCAGGTCCTTAAGGATACGGATCATCTCTTTGCGAGATTCATCTACCTCCTTCCCCTCCACAGTCACTAAGTTTCCATCTAGAAAGTGAGAGTTCAACATCTTGCCATCCATCTCAATTCCCTTAGGGTGATCACCTTCTGATTCTATGATAATGCCCCTGTGCTTGTCAGTTCGGTACTTTTTGTGCATATACTTGTAGAAAAGCAGACGTCTATCTGCTACCCAAGCCAGAAGGACACAAAGTGGGAAGAAGAAAAGTGTGAGCAGACCTTCCCAGACCTGAACCACACCTGGAGAGAAGACAGCAAGGATCATGTACAACCAGATGTAAGCAAAGATGCTCCAAGCAGCTGTGACAAAGAAAACCCTCAGGTGTTTTATCTTTCTGGTTTCCCCATCAGGGATCACATAGACACAGATGGCAATGATGATAAACATATTGAAAGCAGCGCTGCCAACAATTGTAGATGGCCCCAGGTCTCCAGCTACGAATCCATGCCCACACACTTCTATCAGAGACAGAAGGATCTCAGGAGCAGAGGAGCCCAGAGCCATGAGGGTCAAGTTGGAAACAGTTTCATTCCAAATCCGAATGGTGGTCGTTGTGGTTTCTCCATTGGGTTTCTTAATCGTTATTTCTTTTTCTTGTGATGTAATGACCTCTATAGATGCCATGAAACGATCTGCAATGATGGAGACTCCAAGGAACATGTAGATCAGTGCTACAAAGTATACAATAACACGAGCAATTTTGTCCCCAAGGGATGGGTTTTCTGGGTACCATATTGGCAGGATAACACCTTCCTTGCAGTCAAAAGATCCTGAACACGAGCTGTTTTGTACTGAACTGGTTGAGTCTCCCGTCAGGCCAGCATCCACCTGCAAACCATGCAAAAACAGCACAAAAGTAACCAGCCCAAAATGGAGGAAGGCCGAGGTGACAGGCTGCAAGCTTAACCACGCCATACACAAGATGCAATTTCCACTGTGTAGATCCAAAAAGGCCGAGAACCTGAAACAAACAAAACAGAGAGGGGGGAGGGAAGCATGAGAGAAAAGGAAAATGCAACATTTACCCAAACGCACTTCAGTATCTCACCACTGAAGAGTACTGGTAGAGGGTTGTCTCTCTCTCTCTGTCACTTTGAAGAAGGTATTTAGCAGGGACTTTAACTAACCACAACTTTTACATGCCCTGCAGATGAAGATCAATTGCTAGAAAAGTAACTCAGTGAAAACACTTGACTCTATATATACACTCTATACACACCACTCTTGACCTAGAGCATGTTCAATAGGAGTACTGAGTGCTCAGCTGCCACTCAGCTAATGAACCTGTGGTGTTCCCCAGCATAGAGCACTTCAACTCAGCACAAGAAACCAAATCTAAAGACTCCCCTATCTCACCATCCAGGAGATAAGTCAAGGAATTACTTGAAGCATAAGAAGCACCATTTGAGGCCAGTGAGCAATCTCCAAATGAAGTCCATTTGTAGGACATAATTCAGTTATGAATTATGGAGTAACTTCGTGGCCAAACCTTCCCCACAGTCAACCCCTCTTAATAGGCTGCAGAGTCTCCAGTAGGGTCCTAGGGCTCCCGTAAGCTTCTGAGGCACAGGGTCTCCACATTAGGAGGTAAAGATGTCAGCCCAGAAACAGGGCAGAGGACTCTTGAGCTCAACAAAGTGTCAAAGGCCATTTTTCACCAGTGTTTCCATTGTGACCTGGACAATCACGTTACCTCAACAATCCTCCTTTTAAATGGTCACAGAAACCTGCAAAACCTCGACAGTTAGAAAAAGCTGTGCTCATGAACCCAAAAGACAGAGCAAAATTCATGTACCACCAACATCCCTAAGAAATTGATATATTTTCAAATACCCTCTAAAATTAACCTCTAACATTAAATACCATGCAAAACCAAAAAAGCTGGTCATCATATCACGTAGGTTTGGCATATTACTGTCCAATAATGCCTTCTATTACTTAGGGACTACTTTGCTGTGGGTCTTGCACCACTTAAAATTGGATTCTGATCACTTCAGTGTCATGGATCATACTGTTCTCCTCCCTATATACCAGGTCTCTGGAAGAATTTGGTCTCAGGCTTAAAATAACAAATCACATTTCTGAGTCCAGACGCAGCCAAGTACTTCACAGGAAACATCAAACTTAAGAGCGGCATTATCTACAACACTTGGAGGGTTCAAGAGTCTTAACTCCCAATGGCTTTCACTGAGGTTTGTACTGCTGGATCAGTAGGGCTGGGATTCGTTTCCCCTACTGTACCTAAATCTTGGGCAGTAAGTCAATGAAGTCACCTTGGCTCCCTTTGTCAGAGGAAAGACAGTTGTTTCCAGGGGATGATCCTTCCTGTCCCACTCTGTTCTGACCCAAAAGATGCACTTAAGACACACATCTCCAGAAGGGGTTTTGTCCCTTCCCATTTCTCTCCATGGTCTCAAGAGGGTGCCCAGTCAGCCAGCTTACAGCAGATACTCAAAGTTCAGATGGCAGCAGTTCAAAGAGATGAACTGGCCCCCAAACACTTGAAGAGATCCCTTCCCTCTCCCTTGCACTGTAAATATTTCAGGCAACATCTTCATGTTATCAGCATTAACAAATGCATCTCAAATGGCTATTTTACTATCATGTTGTGTCACTCGCCTCTTTCCAAAAGAGGGTGCAATCTTTCTGATAGCAACAAAAACATTTTCAACCTTCAGATAAAAATCTATAAAGACAAGCAAAACAGGAAGGAAAGCATGAACAAAGACTGCAGATGAACAAAATGAACAAAACGGCTCCTGACAAAGCATAGCAGAGGGGTGAGAATTGATTATGCAGTATCAGGATCACAAATCCATATCTGACACCCTTGATATGAAAAAACAATACACTTCTTCATGCTACCTGGACTAATTCAGAAGAGCAAGATTCTCTGCATTAGCCCACTTACCTTCTCTCTCCAGTGCCTACTCATCTGCCTGCTACTATAGCCTCAGTGCCTGGCTGAGCCCCTCAGCCCCAGCTCTAGCATTCTGGCTATGGGATGGTGGGAAATCCCTGAGGAAGGGCCAGTGAACATGTGCAGAATGATGATGAGCAGCAAGGCCAAGATCTCTGGGCTGCAAGGCAGATGTGTGCAGATGCACAGTGAAGTTGACATGCTCCAGGTGCCTCTGACTCAAGGTGTATGCAGAGACCAACTGCACAAGCACAGCAGCTCCAAAACACCCCAGGCACATCAGATCATCCTTATCTGTACTGCAATTGCTGGCAGGTATCCACCAACTTCTTGACATTTCCAGCTCCCAGCTCCTACTTAACTGTACAGCAGCCAGTAAGTGCCGTGTCTTCCAAGATCAGCCATGAAAAAATGGCTGACAGAAAGACAGAAGTAATTTCAAAAACATCTATGTGACTCAAGCACCTAAATTTGGTTTCAAAAACGACTTAAGAGTAAAGTATCACTTAAATTCAGAGCCTTTTCTAGGAATAGTACGATGACTAAACTGCCCTCTGAAATAAATCACTGCTACCAACCTCCTTCTCTGTGGGACAACCACCTTCTGTAATTAACACTATCTGTCTACCTTCTGTAACGCCATGATGGTTTCTATTCTAGCCTTCCCCAAATACACTCCAGGACCTTGCTGTTCTTTCTCCTATTTTTAATTTGATTTTAAGTTTATTCCTGAAACTAATAGTATATTATTTCAAAAGCAACCTCTACCAGGGTAGCCTCTGTTTATGTGTTAGGACCTCCAAACTCAGGCAATGGGTCACAGACTAAAATCTCAGAATTTGGGAATATGTTTATTCACTCTTTTTCAATTCCTTTGACAAACATTTTAACATTAAATGGAGGTCAAAATAATTTTCTAAAGTGTTACAATAATGACCTAATCCTGCAATTCTTTGACACACGTAAAACTCCCCAGTGAGATCAACAGGAACTTTGCCCACAGATGCACTGTCTAATAAAATCTTAGTATGTGTTCATTAATATGAAAAACATTAACCTAACTAATCTGAAAAACAGTGAAGCATTCCTACTGTCATTCCCCTCTTGGAAACTGATGCAAAAGTGCTTTACAACATAGAATAAAACTATTATATTTTAAAACTGCAGTTAATAAAACATTGTGGTAACAGTTTTAACATTCAGATGACAGAGGATAGAAGAGCTAAAACTCACTCTGTAGCTCTAGGTCAGCAAGTTTGTTTATACAAGCTGCAAGTTTTCACTCAGATATATCTACTAAACTCAGTCCAGAAATTACTGGAGGGGATCTACATAGTTCTGGCCTCCCCAGAGTGAAGCAGACACATCCCTTACCCCTCCTCTAACTAGCAGCAGCTGTGCTAACTGTGACAAGAGCCACCCTTCAGCACAAGTCCCACTCTGAGCCACCAGGCAGGCTTGCAGCACAGTCCTGAGTCACTGCTAGTCACCCAGGAGGAGGTGTCACTCCTCTGACGCCAGAGCAACAAAACGCATCCACATCTGGCACAGAGAGGTGTCATTCCAACAACGTCACTGCCCTGGCCCTGCGGGATGCAAATGACAGGAGAGGAGGCTGCAGCAACAGTGGAAAGTCATTTGGCATGGAGTGATCTTCGCCTTTATCCTATAAGGATCCTCATTTCCACTGATTCTTTGTTATCAGATGGGATTTTCTTCCACAGCCCTCTGCCCCACTACTGCTATTGCATTGAATGTGTGCAAGTAAGGGCATTAGTGGTGAGAAGACCAGACAGTCTCCCTACCTGGTAGGCTAAGTTCAATAGTAAATTTAAAACATTCAATCTATGCAAGAAAGAGACAAAATGCTGCAAGCATCAGTGCACCAGACTAAGCTAGCTTTAAATAGCAAGGCTCTGGGAAGATGTACAACAGTTATTTTAGCAGGGGCAGCTCCTTCTTCTACGAGAGTTAACAATGGCCATGTGATCCATAAATCCATAAACAGAACCCATAAATAAAGAGATCAGTTCTTGAAATACTTCTGGAGACAGTCCAGAAAGTAGGATGGACCACGGCTGCCACAATGAAGCTTGCAATAGAAAATTACTTTTAGGCAACTCTCAAGCTCCTTATGTCTTTTATAATAGCTGAATTTCAGAAGACTGATGGTTTGTCTGCTGTAGACCTATAGCAAGGTACAAAGCTGAGGAGGCTATTCTGATCCCTTATAATTAAGCTTTTTGTGTACAGATGTTCACATGACTCTAAAAACAAGGATATTTTCAAAGGATGCATCTCAAGAAATCAAATCAAGAGGCAGCATAACACAGTGGTGTTCCCAAGATCTCTCCTCAGTAAACACAAAACCAAAGGCAAATCTCTAAATCCCTATTCATTTCACATTTAGGCAAAATTCCCAGTAAGCTATCATCAAAAACTTCGGATTTGTCCAGCAAATAGGATTAGGTTGTCTGGCACCTCCTTCTCCTTCCCCTCTCCCTCACACCCCTCAAATAAATCAGACACCCGAGTACATCTGTGGCCGTATATCCTCTCTCCCCTGACTCTAGACTAGCCAGGAAAGGCTGCTGATGAGACCTGAGCAAAGGGTGAGCCCCATTCAGATGTGGACACTGCACAAGTGTCAGACAGAGACATCTCAAGATCAAGAGTTTTGTCGACCTGACAATCATCCATCCCAGAACAAAGCAAATGCAGTGCTGCTATTACTGTCCTCTTGAAGTCCCACTCCAAAGCTGGAGGAGCCAGAAATAAGGTTCAGCTTATTAACAGGACCTCACATTCCTTAGTTCTAAAGCACATAAAAGCTTTTGATTGAGTGCATGTGCTTGTTTTTATAACCATCAGCAAAACTTGAAATTATAGCCTTTCTGCCAAAGAACACAAACAACTGAGTTTTCACAGAAGAGGTATTATACCTAATTCACACTCCTCCCTCCCGCAAAATAAAAGCTTAACAAAATATTTAATACAAAACAAAGCATATTTTTCAATCATCTCCACTCAAATGTTACTGA